GAGATTAGGGTTTTTCAAGATTTGGGATTCAATAACTTCATCATGCTTATATAATCACAATTATATAATTACATTCATGCAAGCATACAAGTAAGCACATAGCAGGATTTACAATGTGATCAATACATATCATTCGCTATTAAGAGTTTACTACGAATATCGTTAGAGAAACCATAACCTACCTCTGCTTTCAAATTTTCTTATTCAAACCCTCTTTCTTTTACCCTAATTAGCATATAATTAAGAATAAAAGGTGGTAATAATAACCCACTAATTAATTTAGGGTTACCTCTTTTAACCCCCAAGAAATTTAGTTATTAATATAAACCCACAAAATATATAATTATAGCAGGAATAGTCCAAAACGCCCCTTTAAAACTTAACCAGAAATCCGACTCCGACTGGGATTACGCAACCTGTGACGGCCCGTCGCGCCCGCGACGGTTCGTCATGCAGGTTCGTCAGAGACTCGATTTCCTTAAGGAGTCTGTGACGGCCCGTCGTACCTACGACAGTCCGTCCTGCACTTTCGTCACGACGTTCAGAGAATCGTTCCCTGTACCAAATTCTCAAGAGTTGAAGTGTTTTGAAATGGTGAATCACGACGGTTCGTCGTGCATGTGACGGTCCGTCCTGCAGGTCCGTCACAGAGTTCAGAGAGTCGATTTCAGCACCCAAATTTCAAAATTTCTAACTGTTTTGGGACGAGACACCCTCGACGGTCCGTCATGCCCATGACGTTCCGTCGTGGGTTCCGTCGTCTCAGCCTGTTTTTCCAGAAATAAAATCTGCTGCTCAAAACGACTAAACAGGTCGTTACATGCACGGTGCCAATGTTTTTTATTTTTAGATTCATATTTTCTATAACTTCGATTTTTCTATTTGATTTTTAGTATCATATTTTTCGTATTTCGATTTAATCAAAATTTAGGCACTACTATACATACTATATAAGATATTATTTAATTATTAATACTTTTATTTCCTTTTCTCCCTTTAGCATGCACTTACCAAACTTTGACTACTAAGCAAACAAACATGACCACAAATATGAGATTTTTCCAATGATCAAATTTCAAACTTGTATGTAAGAACTAATAAAACTTGTATTATTTCAATTGCTCAAAAGTAAGTGTCCGGTAAGTTCTATATATTATTTTCTAATCGAAGAGATATCGAGTCTGTTTGGATGAGCTTATAGCTTTTGACTTAAAAAGTTATAAGAAACACTTAGAAACTCATTAAACTTAGTTTTATAACTCAAATGTCACTCAACTAATCTAAATAATTTTTTATTTAAATTTTGTTGAAATGAAAATTTTATTTTTAAGAAATAATACGATATCCATTTAAAGAAATTTTTATTATCTATTTATATGCACACATAATTTGTTTTAATAGTTATAGATTTTTTTAAGGGAAAAGGGTCTGATATACCCCTCAACTTTGTTATTTAGAGCTGATATACCCCTTGTTATAAAAGTGGCACATATATGCCCTTACCGTTATACAAACGGCTCACATATACCCCTACCGTTACAAAATGGCTCACATATACCCTTCATTTAACGGAAATTAAAAAATCAGTTTTAAATTTATATTTGTTACTTCTAATTTTTTTTAAAAAAAATTATTTAGGGGTATATATGATTCTTCTATCAAAGTTCAAGGTATATTTTATTTTTTTCATATATAAATTAATTTTTGACTTCTTTTATTATAATTATTTGAGTTTCTTATTCTTATTTTGTTTTTTCTTTCATTCCTTAATTTAAAGAAAAAAAATTTAAACTATTTTTTGTGTGTATTGTAATTTAATTTCGTATTCGAAGAAAAAATTTGGTCATCTATAATAAGTTTTACAAGAATATTAGTGTAACATAAATAAATTTGATTATCAAAATAATAATTATAAATTAGTCATTAAAACAAAAAAAAAAGTCAAAAAAAATATGTTTGACAAGGATTAAATTTACTCATATGGGATTATATTTTTAGAAAAAATAATAAAATTTTAGATTAAAATTATTATTTTTTTCATTTCCGTTAGAGGAAAAGGGTATATGTGGGCCATTTATTTACAAGTAGGGATATATATGAGCCACTTTTATAACGAGAGGTATATCAGCTCTAAATGACAAAGTTGAGGGGTATATTAGACCCTTTTCCCTTTTTTTAATTCTATTTTCCTTACTATGTCAACTTGCTTTCTGCTCATCGTTATCTCATTTGTGCCGCAAAGATCAAGCTCTTGCTCTTCTACAGTTCAAGCAAATGTTTATTACAGATGTTTTTTCGAAATCACTATCATGGAACAAGAGCATAGATTGCTGCTCATGGGATGGAGTTCATTGTAACGAGATAACGGGACAAGTGACTGAGCTTGACCTCGCTGGAAGAGGACTAAAAGGAAAGTTTCACTCCAACAATAGCCTCTTTCAACTCACCAATCTCGAAAGACTTAATTTGTCTTTCAATAATTTCTCTGGATCGTACATTTCACCTAAATTTGGTGAACTTTCTAGTTTGACTCATCTTGATTTGTCAAATTCAAGATTTTCAGGTCTAATTCCAACAGAAATCTCTCGTCTTTCAAAATTACAAGTTCTCAGTATCCAGAGTAGCCTATTAAGTTTCAAACCTAACGGTTTTGAACTTCTCCTTAAGAACTTGACCCAATTAAGAGAGGTTAAAATTTTACGATGTGAACATCTCTTCCAACATTCCTCTTAATTTCTCTTCTCATTTAACTACTTTGTTCCTTCAGAACACAGTTATACGAGGTATTGCCCGAAAGAGTTTTCCACCTTTCCAACTTGGAATCTCTTGATTTATCATTCAATCCCCAGCTCACTGTTAGGTTTCCCACAAGCAAATGGAATAGCAGTGCATCACTTATGAAGTTAGCTCTCAGTGGTGTGAATGTTTTTGGTACGATACCTGAATCATTTGGTCATCTAACTTCACTGCGAGCATTGACAATAGATTCTTGTAATCTCTCAGGTTCTATTCCTAAACCTCTATGGAATCTCAGCAATATAGAGGAATTGAACCTTGGTGATAACCATCTCGAAGGACCAATTTCTAATTTCTTTAGATTTGGAAAGCTCATGTCGTTGTTACTTGCAAATAATAACTTTGATGGCCAACTTGAGTTCTTATCCTTTATCAGATGGACGCAACTTGTTGAGCTAGATATTTCATTTAATTCCCTAACAGGTTCAATTCCTTCTAATGTAAGTGGTATGCAAAACCTACAACGTCTCAACTTGTCATCAAACCACTTGAACGGGATAATACCTTCCTGGATATTCTCCCTCCCATCACTATATTTGTTAGACTTGAGTGATAACCATTTAAGTGGAAAAATTCAAGAGTTCAAGTACCAATCGTTGTTTGTTGTTTCTCTCAAACAAAATCGACTGGAAGGTCCTATTCCGAAGTCATTCCTAGACCAACAAACCCTACACTTTCTTCTCCTTTCACAAAATAATCTCAATGGACACATCTCATCAACCATCTGCAATCGAGTACTGATGGTGCTAGATTTGGGCAGCAATAATTTGGAGGGAACAATCCCGCTATGTTTGGGTGAGATGAGTTTACTTGTGATTTTGGATTTAAGTAACAATAGTCTTAGCGGGATAATAGATATAACTTTTAGTATAGGAAACTATCTTCGAGTCATTAAATTTGACGGGAATAAGCTAGAGGGGAAAGTTCCGCAATCTTTGATCAATTGCACATATTGGAAGTTGTTGATTTAGGTAACAATGAATTGAATGACACATTTCCGAAATGGTTAGGATCCCTACCTGAGTTGCAGATATTAAACTTAAGATCAAATAAGTTCTATGGCCCTATAAAAGATTCTAGGACTTACAACTTATCTGCTCAAATTCGAGTTATAGATCTCTCATTCAATGGATTTAGTGGAGATTTACCAGTGAGCCTTTTTCAGAATTTTGAAGCCATGAAAATAATTGGTGAGAAAAATGGAACTCGTGAGTATGTAGCTGATTATTTTTCTGATTTTTACTCAAATTCCTTTATAGTAATAACAAAAGGACTGGAGCTTGAATTTCCTCGAGTTTTGACTACAAACATAATCATAAATCTCTCTAGCAACAGATTTGAAGGTCAAATCCCAAGCATTATTGGAGATCTTATTGGGCTTCGAACTTTGAACTTATCTCATAATCGCTTGGATGGTCACATACCAGCATCACTGCACCAGTTATCTGTACTTGAATCATTGGATCTCTCATCCAACAAAATCAGCGAAGAAATTCCACAACAACTTGCATCCCTCACATCACTTGAAGTCTTAAATTTATCTCACAATCATCTTGTTGGATGCATCCCCAGAGGAAAACAATTTGATACGTTTGAGAATAGTTCATACCAAGGGAATGATGGGTTACGTGGATTTCCACTCTCAAAAGATTGTGGCGGCGATGAAGGGGTACCAGAAGCAACAACTCCATTTGAGCTAGATGATGAAGAAGAAGAAGAAGAAGATTCACCAATGATCAGTTGGCAGGCGGTTCTCATGGGTTACGGTTGTGGACTTGTTATTGGATTGTCCATAATATACATAATGTTGTCAACTCAATATCCAGCATGGTTTTCGAGGATGGATGTAAAATTGGAACACATAATTATTACAAGAATGAAAAAGCACAAGAAAAGATATTAGCATGTAACCTCCAGGTATTCAACTTAATCTCTATCCTTCAGAAGATCACATTTTATATATCCATAAAATTTCATCCTTAAAGCTTTCAACTTTAATACTTTCATTTTTTTAAAACTGCAGGATTCAAGCCTACTGCATTGCTGGGATGTGAATAAAAGTTTTTACTTTCATAGTTAGTGGTTGTGTTTTGTTTCATCAAGTGTTTGTTACATTTTCTTCTGTTGTGACTCAACAAATTCAATTGCAAGGAAAAACCATAGAATTTCATAGAATGCAAAGGCAATAGAAAGAACATTAAAAATACTAAAACAATTCCAAGTTATCGCGTACTTTGAAATAGAATAACTTGAATAACTATGACAACAATAGAGTTAGTGTAGCAGTTGAAAAGTTGGAGAAAAAACCTTGGATACTAACGACGACCAAAATAGCAGAGGTGAGTCATGACTTCATCATGATGCAGGCTCATCGACACAGCTAGCCACAATGTTTCATCTTAGCTACAAGTCCGCATTCATGTGACATTGCTTCAAACAATTAGAACCGCAAATCGATAAGCTTGGCACACGCACAAGCTGATAGAACTGCCACAAAGGAAATCTCATTTTGTTGCAAACCAGAATTCATCATTAATGCTAGGGAAGAAATCATACCATTCCATATGCAAATTTGCTCCATCGCATCAAATACCTGTGTTACAGCAAATAGTTAAAAATACAGGCATGGCCTCGTAGGCTCGTACTATAAAGAGTTCCCAGTTTCTAGTCCTCTTCATAATACTTAGGACACTAATTGCAGAGCTCGAGTCAAATGATAATGATTTCTTCTCAGATAAGAAGCTTCTTGCTTATGCAACATGTTTAAATACTAGTTATCTGAACAAATTCTAGCTCTTTTTGAAACAAAATACGCAAGGCACAAGTTATGTCTTACAAAGGCATGGTTTATTCCTATAGAACTTATGTTATCAAACCTTTTGCCTTGCAAATTAGATTCTACACAACTTATGGAGGACAAAGGCAAAAGTTCTCTTACGAAACTAGGTCATAGTTAAGGGTACTTTGACCCACAAACTTCCATTAAATGATAAGCAGGGGTAAAAATTAAAGACCACAGATTGAGGGGAAATAATTAAAGACCATCGACTGAGGGGTAAAAATAGTTAGTAGAATATTGTGGAATATTCTGCTAACTCAAGAGATCATCAGAGACATAAGGATTAGGACCAAATCTGTTAATGTGATGGTCAAATTGGATATGACAAAAGCTTATGATAGACTGTCATGATTGTTCCTAACAAAGGTCTTAAGAAAGTTTGGCTTCTCATCTCTTTCTAACCTCCCCCATAATGAATGCATCGAAACTTTGTCGAATTCAGATTAAGCATACTTATAGAGAAGGAAATATACTTGCACATTACCAAGTCAAGCTAGGAGGATTCTAAATTTAGTCAAACAACAAGTTCCTAATCTACGCATCAAGACCAAAAGATTAAGTCATATATCATGTGTCGTGAAGAGGAAGCATTGCTTATATCATGATTATCAGTCCACATATTTGATTTGTAAGCACACGACGACAGATTCAAGGAGTCCCCAAATAAGAAAAAAGGAAGGAGGTATTTCACTAGCAACATACATCAATAGAAGATTGGAAACAACATGCTCAAGCACCACCAAATGATCTGGATTGCACAGCCACAGAAGCATCATGCCAAAATCTGCTCATCGACTTGGTTTCTGGAAGAAGAAAATCAAGAAGTTAAGAAGTGAAAAGGAGCAGTTCAAGGATGAACACAATTACAATATCCGATAGGATGAAATACCGACCCCATGGAGGAATAGGACTTCAGAGACACAACATAAGGTCAGCAGAGACAATGAAAGGTAGATCGATGAACAACAATGAATCACACAGAGACAATAACGGGTATCAGTTCACTTTATACACATCTTCTTTTTCTTGTCAACCTCTAAAGTTGTTCATACACCCAACCAACATAACAAATTATAATCTCAGCATAATTTCATCAGCCAATCATGGATTTATCCAAACAATACTTTTATTTGTCCCATATTGTTGTTAAAATTAAATTTTCCAGCAAACACAGGATGAAATGCTTACATGTGTATCAGAACAAATGCATGTGTTGGGACTCTCATTTGAATCATTCTTGCATTGACTTGAGAATGTGATTTGACTTACAGTGCAATGACTTGAGAAGGATTAAATAGTGTTTACATATTGTGCGCCACATTGAACGTGAATGTGTAATTGACAACTCTAAATTGACTGAAAATGACTAGGTGACCTTCCTGGAATAGATTACTCCAAAGCAAAATTTAAACATATTACCACATATTGTATAGTTTTTGCTATTTTTAATAACTTGGCATATTTTTAACTCAACTTCAACTTCTTCTGTACAATTTCAAGAAGAGTAAAACACATTGACATCTGAATTTACTTTGAAATTTAAAAATGGCTTTCATACTTGGAAGAACTTGAATTAATTATTATCATGGGAACTAACTTTAGACATGGCAACACCTTCTTTTGCTTTAAAAAATTGACACTACTTAAATAAAAGGACACTAATTATCAACTCGGCACAGAAAGTAAGACCTTAAAATCACAAGAAGTGATAATCCAAACCAATTAATAAGACCTAACTTGTGAAAAACATGCACTGTTTCCTGCTAAATGCCTCATATCGATCTTCTTTGTTCATACATCCAACCGACATAACATCAAGGTAGGTATTCTGTCGCAGTTATCATATACCTGCAGATTTATCTACTTCATCACTTTCAGTATTCTCTACATACAAATTAGCAATATTTTTATTTGTAGTTAAAAGTTGAATTTTCCAGAAAACACAAGGTGAAATGCTTACATGTGTATTCCAGTGAGAAGAAGTTTGAAAAAGAGAAGAAGAGAAACAGTTCCTGTTTTGGTTGTTAAGACAAAATGCATGTGTTATTACAAGTGTTGGGATTTACATTTGAATTGTGTTAGTAAATGTGTATAGTAAATTTCTTTGCTTAATTATGCTATATATACCTCATCAAAATTGTTGAATATAGACACAGATCAAACATTTCTTGATTTCTTCTCTACCAACTTAATTAGTTTTAAACATTTTACTGCAGAAATGGGCTACGTAGACCTTGTATTTTTTATGATATATCCCTTTCTCTTTCAACTTGTTTTCTCCTCATCCTCACCTCATTTGTGCCCCAAAGATCAAGCTCATGCTCTTCTACAATTCAAGCACATGTTTACTACAAATGCTTATTCGAAATTACTATCATGGAACAAGAGCATAGATTGTTGTTCATGGGATGGAGTTCATTGTGACGAGATGACGGGACCAGTGACTGAGCTTAACCTCGCTCGAAGCGGACTTCAAGGAAAGTTTCACTCCAACAGTAGCCTCTTTAAGCTATCCAATCTCAAACGGCTTAATTTGTCTGAAAATTATTTATTCGGAAAGCTATCACCTAAATTTTGTGAGCTTTCTAGTTTGACGCATCTTGATTTGTCATATTCAAGTTTTACAGGTTTGTTTCCAGCAGAATTCTCTCGTCTTTCTAAATTACAAGTTCTTCGTATTCAGATGCTATTAGATTCAGACCTCGCATTTTTGAACTGATCCTTAAGAACTTGACCCAGTTAAGAGAGCTTGACCTTAGCTTTGTGAACATCTCTTCCACCATTCCTCTAAATTTCTCTTCTTATTTATCAACTCTCATTCTTCGAGACACACAATTACGTGGGGTATTGCCCGAAGGAGTTTTCCACATTTCCAACTTGGAGTCTCTTGATTTATCATCCAATCTACAGCTCACTGTTAGGTCTCCCACAACCAAATGGAATAGCAGTGCATCACTCATGGAGTTAGTTCTCACAGGTGTGAATGCTACTGGTAGGATACCTGAATCATTTGGTCATCTAACTTCACTGCGTAGATTAGAGTTGTCTTTTTGTAATCTCTCAGGCTCTATTCCTAAACCTCTATGGAATCTCACCAATATAGAGGAATTGAACCTTGGTGATAACCATCTTGAAGGACCCATTTCTGATTTCTATAGATTTGGAAAGCTCACGTGGTTATTACTTGGAAATAACAACTTTGATGGCAAACTTGAGTTCTTATCCTTTACCAGATGGACGCAACTTGTTAATCTAGATTTTTCGTTCAATTCCCTAACAGGCTCAATTCCTTCTAATGTAAGCGGAATACAAAACCTATATTCACTCAGCTTGTCATCAAACCACTTGAATGGGACTATACCTTCCTGGATATTCTCTCTCCCCTCACTTGTATGGTTAGAGTTCAGTGATAACCATTTCAGTGGAAACATTCAGGAGTTCAAGTCTAAAACATTGGTTATTGTTTCTCTAAAACAAAATCAGCTGCAAGGTCCTATTCCAAAGTCACTCCTAAACCAGCGTAATCTATATTCTATTGTCCTTTCGCACAATAATCTCAGTGGACAGATTACTTCAACCATCTGCAATCTGAAAACACTGATACTGCTAGATTTGGGCAGCAATAATTTGGAGGGAACAATCCCACTATGTTTGGGTGAGATGAGTGGACTTACGGTTTTGGATTTAAGCAACAATAGTCTTAGCGGCACAATTAATACTACTTTTAGTATAGGAAACAAACTTGGAGTCATCAAATTTGACGGGAATAAGCTAGAGGAGAAAGTCCCACAATCTTTGATCAATTGCACGGATCTGGAAGTTCTTGATTTAGGTAACAATGAGTTGAGTGACACATTTCCTAAATGGTTGGGAGCCCTATCTGTTTTGCAGATTTTGAACTTGAGATCAAATAAGTTCTATGGGCCTATAAGGACTGACAACTTGTTTGCTCGAATTCTAGTCATAGATCTCTCATCCAATGGATTTAGTGGAGATTTACCAGTGAGCCTTTTTGAGAATTTTGAAGCTATGAAAATAAATGGTGAGAAAAGTGGAACCCGAGAGTATGTAGCAGATGTGGGTTATGTTGATTACTCGAATTCCTTTATAGTAACGACAAAGGGACTGGAGCTTGAACTTCCTCAAGTTTTGACTACAGAGATTATTATCGATCTCTCAAGGAATAGATTTGAAGGTAATATCCCAAGCATTATTGGAGATCTCATTGGGCTTCGTACTTTGAACTTGTCTCACAATCGCTTGGAAGGTCACGTACCAGCATCACTGCAGCAGTTATCTGTACTTGAATCATTGGATCTCTCATACAACAAAATAAGCGGAGAAATTCCACAACAGCTTGTATCCCTCAAATCACTTGAAGTCTTAAATCTATCTCACAATCATCTTGTTGGATGCATCCCCAAAGGAAAACAATTTGATACGTTTGAGAATAGTTCATACCAAGGGAACGATGGGTTACGTGGATTTCCACTCTCAAAGGATTGTGGTGGTGATGATGGGGTAGCACAAACGACGAATCCAGTTGAGCTAGATGAAGAAGGAGGAGATTCACCAATGATCAGTTGGCAGGCAGTTCTCATGGGTTACAGTTGTGGACTTGTTATTGGACTGTCCATAATATACATAATGCTGTCAACTCAATATCCAGCATGGTTTTCGAGGATGGATGTAAAATTGGAACACAAAATTCTTACAAGAATGAAGAAACACACAAAAAAATATTGAACCTCCAGGTATTCAACTTGATATTTTTCATTCAAAAACTTTTTCTTTTATATAGAAACGAATTTTCCATTTCCTTCATCCTTAAATCTTTTGACTTTAATTCTTCCTTTTTTCTTTAAATTGCAGGATTCAAGCCTAATATGTTGCAATGAAGCAAATATAAGCCTTTATCTTTCATAATCAGTGATGTTTGTGTAGTGTTCATATCCTGTTATTAAAGACATGAGTTTTCTTCCTTTGAGACTCATCCATATTTGTTTTCATTTCTTTTCTTTTGAGTAAGAATTAGAATTGACTTTAATTCTTACTATTAGTTGAGAAATAATTGGGGTCACCACAAACTCTTAAAATGTGAAGTTATTATCTTTGTCTTTTTCTTAATTACATTGTTAGAATAGTTAAAGTCCTTCAAGCTCTTATTGCAGGCACTTGAAGCCCCTTTGATTTCTATTTTTCTCAACTATGTCACATGACATCATAACACAAACAAATCACTTTAAGTTCACAAAAAAATAAAAAACTGTAGTTACTAGTTACAGTGTTCAAATATATACGGACTCATGATCGTCTTTCATCAAAAGATTGAAGAAATATCAGGAAACCATGGACCAAAGTTGCAGTCTGCTATCTGAGCAGTTAAAAAGTTAGAGACACAACCACGGAAACCAAAATTAGAATCCTAGAAGAGGTGATACTGGAAGAACTCTTCCCTAAGTCTCGGATGGTAAAGTTATCGAATATGGTGGAAGGTAGACGGTAACAATTGAATTAATCGAGCAGAACACAAGCTGACCTGGATATCACTACTATACAACTACGCCTCAGTACCTAACAATAACTTGCAAAGAGATACATGCAATAGTGTTAAATGCCTAAACTAAGATTAGACATGAACACACAATTGAATGATAGAATTGCTAATGATTAAAACCCGTATGGATTTGACACTTCACTCGGGAAGGAAATAAACAGAACAACTTGCCTTTAAACAATGTTTTTCATGATCATCTATTGTTCAGATTAATTAACTAGAAAACCGCTCGATAACTTCTCAGGGTAAATAAAAAGATTCAGAAAAATGAAAGTAGAAATCAAAAAGAATTACCTCGCCAAGCAGACTTTGGAACCAGGTTTGCTGTGCATTTTCACAAAAAACATGTCCTCCTTGATCAGTCAAGCTATGACATCAACTTTCTTTAAGCAGTGCTTCAGTCTCTGTGCAAAACCAATATAAAGGATCCTTTTAGCTGAGTCGAGATATCATCACCAAGTAAGCTCATTGACAATTTTGCAAATAAAAGCTGCTACAGCTATCATCTCTACTAAATAAAACTGTGGGCTGGAACCTTCTGTATTCCAGCATCTAACATTGCTTTTCTTAAGGAAACGGCGTGATTCCACCTCTCTGCGCCAGCATAAATGCTTGAGAATGCACATATCGCCCTGAATGATTCGGTTGGGACTTAAGCAATGGTTGAGCTACTTCATTTCCCTCTCAATAGCTCCATGAAGTCTACAAGCACCCACAAAGCACCCAATACAGTAGCATCAGCTTCAAAAGGCATCTTCTTTATGAAGTCGTACGCTTCCTGCAGTAGCCCGACTCTCCCTGATAGATAAACCACACAACCATAATGTTCCATTCTAGCAACAAATCCAAATTCACGTGACATTGCTTCAAACAATTGAAAACCGAAATCGACAAGCCTGACACACACAAGCTGATAGAACTGCCACTTTGCAGACCCTTTGATCTCATCTTCGCATACATGTTAATGCTTGCTTCTCCCTACCATTCAAAGCTAAGGAAGAAACCATACCATTCCAAGCTCAAACCTACTAACTAACCATCACATCAAATACCTTCAAAGCATATACTAAACAACCCATCTTCCCATAAAACGCGATTAATCTACCTGCCTCATTCCTTACCATGTACTTGCCTCCCTAGATATAACGCCATGCCACGCCGACATCCAAACACGTGCAGGAACTAAGAATACTAACAAAAGCAGCCTCATTTGACTTCAATAAACCACACTTCATATCCTCATGTACCTTCATTTTCTCAAAAGAACTTAACAGCAACCTCAGAGCACCTGTTCTTCATGTACCCATAAATCATACTAACATCACAATAAGCATGCAATAAAACATCAAGAACCCCAAACCCATATCTCCATTTTCCCAACAAGCATCAAACATCACATTTATACTAGATAACACACGGTTCAGTAATTTCATCAAACACCTTGTATGCACTCCCTTGTCAACAATTCAATAGCCTCATATTGATAAAAAAAAAAAGTACCAAAGAACAATTTTTTTTATTGAAAATCAAGAAAGATGTGGTTCATGGATTCGAAAAAATAAAATAGTATTACTAATTATGTTACAATATATCATTTCGAACAATATATAACTTGCATTAGTTTATACACTAAATCTAATATTAATGTGTGTGTAACATGTAGGGGGTTGTTTGATATGTGTATAAAAATATTATTGAGTAATATATATAATAATGTTTATATTAATTATGCTTGTATTAATTATGCTGAGATATCTCAATAGTACTATTAGCAAATTGAAATTTTACACAAATCTTTGCACCATATTCCTATTATATTCCAAGCTACAAAACTCTCATAATATTGGTGAATTTGAATACATTTCAAAACGTCATAATACATCACATCTCGATTTTGGATACATCGTTCAATCTCTCGATCCACCGCATCTCGATTTCAGATACGTAGCTCAACGTCCCAATATATCGCGTCTCGATTTTGAATACATTACTCAATATTTTGATACATCGTGTAAGTCCCGATATATTGAGTAAAGTGATGTATTCGATCAATATATCGTGTAAAGTAATGTATCTGATCGATACATCACATAAACTAATGTTCCAAGAATAGAAAAGAGCAAGGATTTGCGTAATTATTTTTTAAATGATGAATTTAAGAAATCACATAGTTTTAATATGAAATTGCAATTTATCATTCTTTATTCTGTAATAAATTAATTCCTTAAAAAGTAACAAAAATTGGATATATTAATATGTCACTCGGATATATTAAAAAGTATCTCAAATACATTATAACATTAATCGGATACATAATATGTAGCTCGAAAATATTAAAAGCTAGCTCAAATACATTATAAAAAATAAACAAAATGCATAATATATAGCTCGGATACATTAAAGAAATAAGGAATTTTAGAGATTTTTTTGAATAAAAAGGGATATTGGAAATAAGGAAACATAATCCGTGTGTGTTTTGTAATTTCTCCATTTTTTAAATGATATAGTTTTTATCACAACTTTCACATATAGTAAATACAAAATTCATATTTGTATGCTATAGCAATGTTTGCATAATTGTGCTCCATAGCTAACATATATGTATAATTCGCTATACATATACACTTGAATTGAATTGTATAAAACGACAAAGAGAGAAATTATATACAATTTGAATCTGTATAAAACGAGAAAGAAAGAAAGGCAAACGAGAGCAGAGAATATACAATTGAATCGAATTGTATAAAATGAGAAAGAGAGAAACTATATACAATTTGAACTTGCATAAAACGAGAAAGAGAGAAAGACAAAAGAGACTTGGGCAGGAAAATATTTGTATTGTACAATTATAAGTGTATATGACCAATATATATATATATATATATTTGCATATGTATATACAATTTTCTCTCGCTTTATGCAATAGAAATGTATAATTATGCATTTCTATTGTATAAAGCGAGAAAGCGCGAGCGACAAGGAGCGGTCGATAACATGAGGAAGAGAAACGACTGACAAATAATTTGCTATGAGACACAAATAAATCAAACGATAACTACTATATTTATTTTATATTATCAGTTTGCTATTTTATACGATTATTTCTAGTTGTTGTAGCCCTTAGTCCAACATAAACCCAAAAATAATGTGGGCCCTAAGCCCATTATTATGAGTATCAAAATTAGTATATACAAAAAAAAAAAACATAGTTATAAAGGTGTATTTGGCCCAAAAAAAAAAAAAAAAAAAAAAAAGAGGTCTTAAATATATATACACAAAAAGAGTTTGCTATTTGATTCTCTCTTTTACCTTGAAGAACAAGTTTTTTTTTTCTTTTTCTCCAGATTTCGAAGAGAGGAAGAAGCAATAATGGATGTAATCAAATCTCAGCAAATATCTTCGAGGCCGATTGAGAAGGTAATTGTTCACCCGCTTGTGCTTTTGAGCATCGTAGACCACTACAATAGAGTTGCAAGAGACACAAGGAAACGTGTTGTTGGGGTTTTGCTTGGAACTTCGTTTAAAGGCACTGTTGATGTTACTAATAGCTATGCAGGTATCATTGTTGCAAACCCTTTTCAGATCTGTTCAATTTTTTGCTTTTATTTTGCTTTTTTTTAATGGAATTTGAAGTTTGTTAGGGTTTTTATGAAGTGAAGTTGAGATTTTTGAACTTTGAACTGTGAATAGGTAGCTAATGTGCTGGGAAATTGTAAGATAGTAGTCAATTTGCTTGCATTATGATGGAATTTACAGTAAGTTAGGCTTTTATGAGCTAATTTTGAAATTGGGACAAGGAATAGGTATCTAATGTGCTGTGAAATTGTAAAATAGCAGTCAATTTGCCTTTGTTTATTGTTTTTGTTATTTTGCTTTTTGATGAAATTTGTTTGGTAGGGTTTTATGAGCTAAATTTATGATTGGAACAGTGAACTGGGAATAGGTATCTAATGTGCTGGGACATTGTAGAATAGTCAATTTGCCTTATTTATGGGATTAATTGGGTTGCATTATGATGGAATTTAAAGTAAGTAAGGCTTTTATTAGCAAAATTTGAGATTGTGATATGGAATAGGTATCTAATGTGCTGGGAAATTGTAAAGTAGCAGTCAATTTGCATTTATTTATGGGATTAATAATTGGGTTGCTTGTGTTCTTGCATTTTGACGGAATGTAAAGGTTAGGTTTTTATGAGCTAAATTTGAGATTGGAACTAGGTTGGTAGCTAATGTGCTGGGAAAATGTTAAACAAGAGTAAATTTGCTTTTATTTGTGGGATTAATACTTGTGTTGTTTTTGTTCTTTTGTTTTTTTTTTATGGAATTTATAGTTTGGTAGGGTTTGTATGAGCTAAATTTTAGATTGCTGAATTTCGAGGGAAGGACTGACATCTAGCCTTTCTGTGGAGATGTATTGCAGTATCAAATAGACTGTCTACATACCTAGTTTAATAAATTGTAACTGTGAAACCTGCGCAGTTTCCTTAGATGAGTTCATCTGGCTGCAGCACTTTACCATTTTCCATGTTTTACTTCTAACTAAATGAAGAGTTGGTTCAGCCCATAGATATGAATCTGTTTTGTAATTTTACCTAACATCTTTCTCTGTTTCATGCAGTGCCCTTTGAGGAGGAGGAGAGGGACCCTAGTATCTGGTTTCTTGACCATAACTATCATGAATCGATGTTTTCCATGTTCCGTAGGATAAACGGTATAGTTCATATTTACTTGCATGATTTGGAATTCATGATCTTCTTAGATGTATTGTTTGAATGTTCATTCTTCCTTTTGATTTAATTGTGTCAGCAAAGGAGCATGTTGTTGGTTGGTATAGCACTGGTCCCAAACTTCGGGAAAATGACCTCAACATTCATGGGCTTTTTAATGAGTAAGGGCATTATATTTATTCATTCATTCAGAGATCCTATTTGGCATCTTTAGTTTGGCAACATCAGAATCTTTGGTGATTGATTATGTGTGGATGGTTTTCCAAGCTACAAGCTTTACTTATCAAATGAATCTGTTAGAGATATCTGGCAAAAGCGGAACTTTGGGAGAGAATTGCTTACAGTAGGTTATAGCTAAAGAGGATACAGATTAATAGACTAATGGAAAAACCGTTGAAATGCACAAATCAAACTAGTTTACTTCCCTATTGATTTAGTACTAGTCCCTTAACATAACAACTTTCATTATTGACCTCCCAAGCCCTTAATGCAATTTAAATTGCATTTTTATGGTTATACAAAAAATTCCAACCCAAATCAACTTTTTAATAGTAAAAATTCATGGTAGTTAATCAACTTCTGGTGCGAAACTCAAAATTGATTTATGGATGACGATTTTCTAATAAATTTCAATTAGTCCAACATAGTTTAAATTTTGATAATAGTATGACATTAACAAGTAAGATATCTGAGAGGAGATAATGGGAATTATGGCTTGTCCTTTTCCTATTTGCTACTTCAATTTAAGGAAGCAACTTATGCAAAAGCTAGGTAGATGTCTCCAATGGGGATTTCTACCTATTGCTTAGAAAAAGTTCTCAAAATTTAAATGTGGGTATGAGTTCCATTGTATTTTTTTTTAAATGTCCTCTTGCACTATATTGGTGCTGTACATCCTTTTTAATTTAATTTAAATTTTGCCTTGTCTCAAGTCTTTTAGAAGTCCTTGAAGACTTCCCATGTTGTGATATTTCAATTTTCAGATCCATTTTAGTCTAAGCTAAGTAATGAATAGTAAGAAATAGAAAGCTGGGTTATTGAAGACAGTAGTAACATAGACTTCTCTAGTTAAAAAAAGGGCAGCCCCGTGTTTGAAGAATCCGTTCACGCAGGGTCCAGGAAGGTAGCGTAGACTTTTTTGGTATTATGGTAAAATAAATTTTGTTTCATGCTATGAAACCTAGCTTTCCACTCTCTTGGAGTTCTATTTAAGTGTCAGTTCTATTAAGGCTATATATTGCTGCAAGAATTTTCCCAAAAATTCTCATCCTTGTTTGGTCACTTCTTTTCCTGCTATGAGCCCTGCCCTATGCTGATGCATCTTGATGGGCAGGAGGCCATCATTAGAGGTATAATTTCTCATCAGAACTGTCTTCTCTATAGAAGCTACCAAGTTTTATGTTGGTCCTTGTAGGAAAAGTTACTTGTCTCCTGGATTGGTTTCCTCAAGGACATTGCAGAATCAACATGCCCAAGCCAAAGAAACCTAAGTTTCTGCTATTCTGGCTGCTAAACCTTTGAAAACCAGCTTAAACTGAAGTAATCAAGAATGATGTACATTGTAAGACATGGGAGGGAGAGCGGGGTTCATATCGGAACTTAAAAATTGGATATATGATGTAAAGGACACAGCACAGCACATATTAGAAACTTGCCTAAAATTGTTCTCTCTTTTTCAAGAGAGTGAATTTATGTAACTTTGTGGCTACAATGTTTTGAACTTTGTATTTTTTTATGCCATAAGGTTTCACACTCAAATACGCTGCTTATTATTGGTGGTGTTATTGCAGCTACGTCCCTACTCCAGTCTTGGTTATAATTGATGTCCAGCCTAAGGAGCTAGGAATACCAACTAAGGCGTACTATGCAGTTGAGGAAGTTAAAGAGGTAACAACTTAGATGAGTAGTTCATTGTCTGAAAGAGTTTTGTGCTTGTTGATATACGTAAGTTGTTTTTGCAATGTACTTGACATGCTGTGGATGGGTATATACTTGCAGAATGCAACTCAGAAAAGCCAGAATGTGTTTGTGCATGTACCTTCAGAAATCGCTGCTCATGAAGTTGAAGAAATTGGTACAACTCCAAGATTGATTTTTTACTCTTTAGTTACCATTTGTTTTACTTTTAAAAATTCAACTTATTTCATTTGCTTGAATTGTTAGCAGTTTTCAGTCATTCTTCAATGCAAGTGACATTTTCGCTGTGCATACACATTAAAATTTTGTGTACCGTGTATTCCAATGGACAGGTGTTGAGCACTTGCTAAGGGATGTGAAAGATACTACTATCAGTACCCTTGCAACTGAGGTTTCTTTCTGAACATTCTTATGACCTTTCAATTATAGAAAATTGATGATAAAA